TGCGGCATCCACAACTACTGTAAAAGGACAACAGAAAATGAGCATGTCCTCCTCAATCTTGGAGAAATCCTTAAAGTGCTCATTGAACTCCCGCAGCCGCATATTTTCCCACGTCTACCAACGTTCTCGCTTGGCAAACTGTCCAAAACCTCTTGCAACGCGGGGAAGTGTGTCATGTTTGGCTTGGTTTGCGACAGATGTCTCTTGAATAGTTGGAGCTTGGTAGCAAAGGCCTTGGTAGCAAAGGCCTTGTGTGCATACAGCTGGCTCACTACAGCATCTTTTCCTTGTTAGGCTGGTGTTTAGTGCAGTCAAGTGCTTCGTGATATTGACTAAAAATGCCATATCTGCCAGCCAAACAGGATCAAAGAGTTCCCTCACTGGACGTCTCTATTCAGTCAGAAACTGTGCTATCTCCATTCTAAGTGAGAAAAAACATGCAACATATATCCACGACTGAGCCATTGGACATCGTTGTGGTAAATTACATGTTCAGGCTTGATATCTTGAAGAAACTGCTGAAACTGGCAGTGGTAAAGGTCTTTGGTGCAAATCATGTTCACAGTTTTCATTACTGTAGTCATGACATGGTCAAATTTCAGGCACTTAGTGCAGAGCCTGCTGGTGTATTAAGCAGTGAGGTTTAATGATGCAAACGAGTGAGGCTAATCCACTCCGCTCACCAGTCATCACTGGTGCGCCATCGGTAGCTATTCCATTCATTTTGTCTGAGGACAGTTTCATGTCTTCAACTGCCGAAAGGACAGACTGAAATAAATCCACTCCTCTTGTCTGGCCCTTCAGACTCTGAAGATCCAGCAATTCTTTAGTGATATTTATGTTAGCATCCACACCTCTCACAAAGATTAGCAACTGCGCAGTATCAGTCACTTCTGTACTTTCATCACATGCTAATGAAAAACAGCCAAAAGCATGACACATCTTGCTCAGTTGTTTCTTGATGTCTGATGGTACAGCCCCCTATTCTCCAGGCTTTAGTGTTAAGGCACGACTGATAGTCATAAAGTCCTGCTTCTTTTCAGGGCAAATGACCTCGACCACTTTAGTTAAACACTCTTTCACGAATTCACCATCAGAGAAAGGTTTTCCATGCTTAGCGATTAACATAGCCACCTCGTAACTTGCTCTGGTCAAATTCTCCTGCGCCCCCATGCCCTGAAGAAAAGTTGCCGCTTTAAGAATAGGGTAGCTTCCAGGTGCTTACGTTTCTCTGCCCTCTCATCCCCTGAATATTTACTATAATGTCCATGCTTGGTTTCATAATGTGTCTTAATATTCAATTCTTTAATTTCCGCAATAGTCTCTTGACATATGAGACACACTCATTTGCTGTGGCTCTCCAACCAAAAATATTCTGATTTCCATTTCTCTTGAACTACATGAAATGACAGTCTGGGGTCTATTTTTTGTGATTTAGACTACTCACTGCTTCAAGTATGTGTTTAAAGCATAGATAATGTTAAGTTTAAGTGAGTGTCCAGGATTTGTCCAAAATCTTTTGAGCATTTATTATTTTCCAAAACCTTTCCAGGCCTGCGAGACAGAATTGCTAAATTCTATGGTTTCTCCAGTATTTCCATGATTACACAAAACCTGTAAATAAAACCTTTAGAATTATAAAGGTTATAAACACATACTGGAATGGGACCTGTTTAGATACAAACTCTATTTTTGTAAATACTTAAACACATGAAATGTAGGCAAGATAGAGAAAAGCAATTAACTCAGTGTGGTACAGTGTAGTACTAAAATAAGTATTGTACTTCAGCATTTCTTAAAGTACTGTACTTATTTATTTTCAATGTAATACAGTACACTGTATTGTACTGAAAATAATGTCCATGTTCATTTTATTTTTGCACATTTGCAGTTTTTCACAAGACTTGTTAATTTTAGCAGCATATACACTACAAATACTGTAAACAAGATTAAACGTACCAAGAAGTATCAAGAAATAAGCACCCCAGACTAATTTTTAATATATCGTGTCTATTGTGCTATAACATTATGCATATTTGGTACTATGGGGACAGCATTTATCTGTTGCACTATGTATACAACATGTATAAGATATGGGTTCCCCTTAAATACGCTATATTTAGCTGAGCCATTCACCTCACTTTAACTATTCTGCACTTAATCAGTTTTTTTTATGAGTAAACAAAGGCACACAGTGTCATTGATGCAAAGCACCTTACAAAGCACAAAGCAGGTCTTACAAAGCATCCCTGGTAACTTTTATGCTGTACATGGATGTAATGTACATTCACTTTCAAAGAGTGGGTTTATACTACTTATAGCAGATCTAAATATGGACATTTGAAACCTGTAAGTAGAGCTGGGCGATATGGCCAAAAATGTTATCACGATAAACAAAATTCATATGGTTCGATATCGATACATATCGCGATAAATGTCAAATCATTATTTCTTTCAAGTTTGAAGGCTGATTTTTGCTCCTTGGTGGTTATTTGCTGTTTTAAACTATCCTTTATGGTCGGAACATGACAAACACTCGCCAAACAGTGGAACATTTCACAAATCTGTCATGGGAGAGTGGGAGATGTGAGCTGTTTTTATCAGCTGGAAAAGCACGGCCGGAATTTTTGTAATATTTATAATTTAAGAAAGAAAAGATTATTTTTAGCTGTCTGGTGATGGGTGCTAGGCTATCCCGTTACAAATGCTAAACAAGTGGCCAACAACAGTACTAAATTGTTTAGTTTCTTAACAACGTCAGCTCAGTACAAACAGCAAACGTTAGCTGGCTCGGTACGTCAGTGATGGATCACACTGCCTTACTGCCATCACTCCTACCACATCCATGTCAGAGCATATCACAGTATTCAAACACCAGCTAGCAGATGACTGGGTTTCTCTGTTCTATTGTAGTAGTTTAAGGGGTGAACCGCAATATATCAACACCAGACAAACAGAGCGCTCCTTTTAGGTACGTGTAAACTGAAAGCGGTGCTTTTGTGTCTTATCTGATCTACAGTATCATCAATTCGCTGTGCTGTGCGAGTGATGGAGCACCGCTTCAAGTTAGCCAGCTGCTAAAAACAGTTAGCCTGGAAAGACAACGCTCTCCCGCTAACGCTTCACAGCGTCCTCAGTTCACTTTCGTTTAAATCAGGGCTGTAATTTACATGAACCCACTTCTTTCTTTCACTTTTGTTGCTTGGGAATGCACTTATACTAAAATATGACTTTTTGAGCTCTGTAACAGCGCTTTAGTTGTGAGAAGCAGACGTGATTTAACGCTGCTAAAGCTTGTTAGGATGTACAAAAAGAGGTGAGTTCACTGTAGGACAGTACAGTTACGCCACCTATTTCGTCACTCACACTTCGTCACAGCAGAACAGACTGCCAGTCACTCCACTCAAACTGGGAATGTATAACTCCAAGTTTCAGCCATTGCTAAAGACTCATTTCACTGGTCGCTACCGCCTCTCTAATCATGTCGAAAACTCGGAAGTGCGCCCTCTCCTGGCAACAGCAGAGTAGTGTCGCTTTCCTTGCAGTAGAAAACACCACCAGGGCTTTCGCTAGAACGTGGGAGTGTGAGAATGGTGTATTATACTGAAAATTTATCAAACCTTGATAAATGGGGAAACACTGACTTCAAACATACTTATATGACCTTTTCTTAAACTTTATATTTCATTCTGTTGTTGTAGTGTGTGTGTAGTAGTGCGAGGCCAAAAGCATGTGTGCTTAAACATCTCATTGCAAAACTATGGGCCAAGGGGAATTTTACCAATTTAACATTTCTGCATATGCGTATATTGTAAAATGGGCTATACAAATAAATTTGAATTTGAAGTTAAATTTGAATTCATAAACAAGGATCTGCAGCTTGTTTTATCGTTTGTGTCTATCCTAGTTTGCATGCATCATTAGCCATCCATAGCTCATGTTGTTCATGACGTGAACTTAAACTAGTCAGATGTGAACTTTCACTTAGTTGATTAACCAAGGCAAACTCAGAGTAGTTAGGACATTACTCCATGAACAGCACACCAGTTTTTAGTAACTTGGCTCACTCGTCATCAAATATTTTTTGATGATTTTACTCTGTCATGATTAAAAAAAAAAACTGATGTCATCAACATGGCACAGCCATGCAGTTTGTGCCAAGCACTGGGACTCGGATATCTTTTTCTTCTTTTTGCCTTGTCATCACATAGAAGTGGACTGAATTTCATGTTACATTTGATAGCAAGATGACACATTCCAAGTTTATATATCTGCAGTATTTCTTATCAAATATTTTAATTCTATAATTTGCTGCATTTCTTTTACCAAATTGTTCTTCTCCTTCTTTTTTTAGAATCCATAGCATTGGATTCTGAGATTTTTGTGATAGCATGTCCATTTTGCTACCCAAATTCATTATTATGTAGTACATAATTATCAATATCAAAAAATATACAATGATAAGCCATACTGCCCAACAGTAATAAATTAGTATTCTAATTTATTGTATGCTGAAATAGTTTGACATCTGTTGCACCTTAAAAATGGAAAAAAATGCTGGCCAAATACAATCAACACACAAACTCAGGTATGAAGTATAGGGCACTATAAATATTTCCTGTTAAAAAGTTCAACCACAAAATGTTCATTTTTCACTTTTTTTTACAGAAATCTTATCAATTCTGTTATTGTGCAAAAAGGGAAACACATATGAGCAAAGAAAACAGTCATACAAAATTATACAAAATGTGTGCCCCCCTGGTCAAATTACATTATTACATATATATATTGTTGATTTTCTATGTGAAAATAAGTACACATCCTCTACAGATATAATTTGACCAGGGTTGTTTATTTATGACTATGTATGTAAACAAGCTTACATGTTTATAAGATATGAAGAACCTTAAATACCTTATCTTTATTACAAAGTTTACTATATTTTGGTCTATTATACAAATGTAAGCAAACAGGTGCTTAAATGAAAACATTCAGCTTACCCCTTTTATAGAGGACAGCATTGAGGAAGTCTTCTGCTTGTCTCTCAAGTTTGATGATCCTGGATTGCTCCTGCTTATATCTGTCCACTTCTGATAAGATTTGGCTGTTCAATCCAGCCAAATTCTCCTAAAGGTGATACATTAAAAAAAAGTAATCATGATTCTGTAGAATGAAATTTTACTAGATTTTATTCTCTGGCTAGCTTCCGATTGGGTCATCTGTATTGCAGTAGAAAGGGATAACATCTGTTTTTTGTTTTTTTTTTTTCTATACAGGATTTTTTTTCTCACTGTGTGACAACTTTTTAAAGCAAAGTATTTGTAATGATCCATAATGAATTTACTTCCAATATCTTTTATTAATCACACAAATGGAAGCGATGTGCCAAGGCTACTGGAAGGCTCTCATTCACTGCTTTTGTTTACAGTTACAGTAAAATAAGATTCTGCGGCAAAGGATGTCCATGCATCACGTTACAGATACCCTGCCCGTTTTCTTCAGTGATTCCATAACTTTGGTTTTGGTCTCATTGTGGATTGTGGGGGTCGCTGTGTCAGTAAAATATCTTCAAGACGGGACGCTGTATGTCGGCTCCAAAGTGGGCAACATAGCACGAAAGCCTTGGGTCTCAATGACCGAGTTCGGACGCAAATCCTTGGCAAAAAAGTTGTGATAGAATTTGTAATTCGCTTCACCCTTTCCGAGTTGTGTGGAAGCTTTGACATCGCTTGCTTGATGGTCCTCTGGTTGGCAGCAAGTACAACCGGAAGGAGAACGGGTGGAAATGTGTAATATGGTTTCTCATGTTTATCGTTTCTAAAATATTTTAGTGTGACACAACTTGCATATAGTGTGGCTCCCGTCCAGGTCCTTTTCCCTTCAACTTCATAGAAGCCAAAGTGCTTCCATACGCTAGCTCAGTGGTCAGCAACATGAGGCTCTTTTGCTGTCCTGTTGCAGCTCCACAGCAGAATTAGATTTTTACGTAAAAATAAAATAATCCTCTTTTGCAGTAAAATAAAGCTCCGCTGATCGTTCTAACACAGTGTTAACAATAGATGGTCTTAAATGCTGCTGATTCGCCCTATAACCCGTGTAGACTGCAGGTCACATAGCAATGCAGACAATCTCGCCTAGCTAGTGGCTAACAAAAAGGCAAAGAGAAATATTTAAGATGAACATTTGGAGTCGAATGGACTTCTTTGCTTTTATAAGCACTGCAGTTGGTTTTCTGGTACTTTTAATCTGCAACGAGAAACTGAAAACACTAAACAGTTGTGAAGCTGAAGTCAGCTTCTTTTTTGAATTTCCCCGTTCCACCTTAAATGGTGCCGCATTTACATTCTGGCACCTCAGGCAGAATTAAAGGTGGAACGGGAAAATTCAAACAAGAAGCTGGCGAATAAGAAGCTGACTTCAGCCTCGTAAAACAGTTGAACATTGAGAGACGTTTTACAAGAAACTATTAAACTTTTGAGGAAAAGTTTCCTGCCGGAAGTAGAAGGAAAGAGCTATAGCTAAAGCTTAAAGTAGAGCAAAGTAAGTCTGTATTTCCGTTTATATTTTTAGCCTATACTAGTACATTAGCACATACTGAGACATACTGGACATTAAATGTTGTGGCTCCCAAGGTAGTTTGACTTTTTTTTTGAAAGGAGAAAATGGCTCTTGTTAACATTTGGGTTGTCGACTCCTGACCTAACCTAGCTTTTAATGCAGAGGGTGCTCATCCATTTGTGTTTTTGTTATGTGCACGCGACAGACTGTCCAAGCGCTGCACTTCCAAGTTCCGCCTTTTGTGCTCTGTCAACATTACGTTATAAATTAAAATCTAGAAAATCGATTTTTGTTATTTGTGAATCGATTCAGAATCATCCATGCCCACATCGAGATGCATCTAAGAATCAATTTTTCCCCCCACCCCAAATATATATACCAAAAGAAAAGCATCATTAACAAGAATTTCATGTATCAGTTTCTTGCTCTTTGCGGTGGCAGATTTTGTTCCATCGCTTGGTAATGAATTACACTGAATTAAACTGAATTAAACTTATCTTCATGTTGTGACAAATATTTTTGTTCATTTGCGACAGCTTCCAAATGAACAGAAGAACATGACATTGTTTACTATAGCACAAAAACTAAACAGCAACTATCCATAGGGCCATTTCCTACTACCTAGTTAACTTTGCAGGTCAAGAAGCCACCTAAGTTAATTCTTTCTGTGATGGTGAGAAGGCTCTAACTGCAGAGCCACAGTATCGCACATACTGTCAGACCCACATTTTCTAAACTACTTGGCTGCTTCAGATATGATAGCAGCTAAGTAGTTTACATTTTATTACATGGAGGGCAAAAAGGTAGTGCGTAACATTTTTAAGAAAGCTTCAAATACCATGACTGAATCTCAAATGGCTCCCTATTTTCTACACAGTGCACTGCAAAGGTCAAGAAACTAGAGCTTCTGCACACATTCTGCTCTAATTGTTAGGAAGTTGTGTAACTAATGGCATATACATAAACAGCTTTCCATTTAACATATAATGCACTATTTGGGCGTAGAAGCCATTGTGTATATGACCTATATAGTGCACTACATAGGAAGCAGTTTGCGATTCAGCCTATGTGATCATGATAAGTCTGTGGCTTGGTTGAGCATTGGCTGAGCAGCTGGCTAATTAATAATAATTTACACCTGTGCAAGACTGCAGTCTGCAGTACCAAAACATACTTTGGTCCTAAAAGAACAAAAAAAAAATGTTACCATAAATATAAACAGATTCTCTGTTAAAAACGGTTTCTCTAATCTAATAAGAGTAAATGTACACCTGTTTTCACTCTATGGCTATTGCATAATGCGCACTAATACTAGCAAATTCCAAGTTCTGACTTTTTTGGTTTTCTTCATTAACTAACATGGTGCCATATCTGTGTCTGGAGGAACAGAAGAAGCCGTTCCTCTTTGTCTCGGAGCTTGGAACTGGGAATTGTCAGTATTTTCTTGCCATGGATAGACAAGCTTTGGAACAGCAGACCTTCCTCAAGGCAGTTGATGTATAATAATAATAATAATAATAACAATAACAATAATAACAACAACAACAACAACAATTATTGTTATTATTATTATTTCTTAATACAACAACAATATAGCGGCAAGCATTTTGCTGCGCAATAATGCCCCCTTTAGGCCGATTGGGCTCATGTCATGCGCCTCAGAAGCGGGAGGGACTACCTATTGACCAAGTTTCAAGTCACTAGGACCTACAGTATGGTCTGGGCGATTCGTTTTAGGGCAGAAAAATAATAAGAAATATCTTGACAATTCCAGTAGGGTTCAAGCACTTCGTGCTTGGACCCCTAAAAATCGTAACAATTACAACAGGGTTCCAGCAATACATGCTTGGACAACTAAAACTCCAACAAAAATAATAGGGTCCTAAGCACTACGTTTGACTCTGAAACCAAACTCCTTGATCGGGGTTAGTCCCTTTCCTACTCAGGAGTTGCACAAGGTAAGAGGCACCAGGTGGGTGCTTCAGTTAGTCCAAAATGCTGCAGCCGGAGTCCTCACAAGAACCAGCAAGTTTGACCATATCAGCCCAGTTTTATCAAACCTACACTGGTTGCCACTTAAATGTCGCACTGATTACAAAATTCTTTCACTGACATATAAAGCTCTAAATGTCCTCGGTCCTCTACCAAACTGAACTTCTGTCTTACTATGAACCATCATGCCTACATAGATCACAAGGTGCTGGCTTACCATTAGTACCAAAAATTAATAAAGTGTCATCAGAGGTTAAAGCCTTCTCATACAAAGCCCCCCAGCTTTGGAATAATCTTCCAGTCAGTGTTCGGGGCTCAGACACAGCCTCAGTTTTTAAGTCTGGGCTAAAAACCCACTTGTTTAGTCAAGCCTTTGGTAATTAGTTTTTCCTGTTAGATAAAAGGTGCAGATCTGGGGGTTCGTGGACAGAGTATTAAGGTAAACTAGGAGTGTTGGTGCTGTCTTCCCACTGCTCTCATACATTCACGCAGGTTTGCTGACGGTGGAGCGGAGGGGCGCTGACATCTGGGAGCCCTCATGTCTCTGTTACCTTCTGGCTCTCCCTTTTAGTTAGGCTGTAATAGCCAGACCTGCCAGAGTCTTAACCCTGTTAACTGTAATCAGTGACTCTTTACAGAACTAACTCTCTGTGTCTTTTCTTTTTCTTTGCAGAGTTGAACAGCTGCCCATCCTGTGTGGTCTGAGGCTGTTGCATCTTCTTGCTTGATTGCCAAGCCTTCTGGACCGGTTTGACCACCATGGAGCTTCTCGCTGTACAACACTGTGCAAACGCCGCCTGCATGAACTGACCCTTCTGATGATACTGCTGCTGCTGCACAGACTCAAACTCTAATTATAACCATTGCTTGACCTGTTTTTCCCCGTTTCTGTATTTTAATACTAACACTGTTTCCTATCCGGTGTCGACCAGAGGAGGATGGGTTCCCCTTTTGAGTCTTGGTTCCTTCAACTTAAAACAATATTGAACATGCCTTTTCGTGTGTAACGGAGTCTTCCAAGGTGATTGCAAATCATGAGATGATTGACAGTTTTGTGACAAATGATTTGTTTACTTGCATTCAGAGGCGGGTGACCTTTTTTCAAAGAATGGAAGAACTAACCTACCGACATGTGCTAAAGCAGATGACTAATTAGCATGGATAGGAAAACTAATTAAGGGAATCAGTTGGTTTAGTGGTTTGACTGTGTTCAGTACTGTGTTCGAATTCTGTTTCATTGCATTGTATTTCAAGAGGCTTTATTCTTATTTCAGCTATATACAAGTACACAGTGAAACGAAACAACATTGTTCCAGGAACATGGTGCAACACAGGAACACAAAGTGCAAAACAATACAATTTAAACAGTGCAGACAATACAGTGCAATAAATACGAGACTTACAATGAATACAAAACAGGGCACAGACAGTACACGGTACTGAGAATATGTAGAGTTGTGCAAAGCAGGATGTATCATACTAAGACATACTAGCAGACAGCTAGCATATATGAACATAGAAGTCACTGAGGTAGCCACTAGAACAACAATAACGAAATACAGTATTTGGTTGACCTG